AGGGGATCTGGGTTTTTTGGGAGGGGGACACGGGTTGATGGGTTTTTTTTTTTTTTTAATTTTTAATATTTAATTAATTTTTTTTTAATATTTAATTAATTTTTTAATAAAAAATGGATCTCGTCTTTACCCATGTCAGCATTTAACAGAAAAAATAACAGAAAAATTGACGAAGGTCTGACATTGGCACAAATTCGTAAGATGAGGCATGACATTGTCAATTTTAAAAGATAAGGTATGAAAGTGTCGTGACACCAATAGTTGAGGTAGTTTTTTGTACTTTACCCAATAATTAAAAACAATTGTTTAAAATAGGCAGTGAAGAGTCAGTAGTATTTTATATCTTTATCGTAATCTTAGTATAATTTATTGATTATTTCGATATTTTGTTCTATATTTCAATTATAATACATGTGAATTTACTTTAGGCAAAAAAAAAAAAACGATGAAATGAAAGAATTTCATAGTAACTTCAATTGGAGTGGATTCATGAGTCTTTGAATATGATTGTGTCAAGATCCTTCAGTCAACAAAAACAAAAGGTTTATACTATAATATAGGGTGAAGTACCAATTTAGTCTCCGAACTATCACCTCAGTAAAAATTAGGTCCCTGAATTATATTTTCTGTAAAATAAGTCCCTAAATTCATTAAAAATTGCTAATATCATCCCTATTATTATACTCAAATCTATTTTATCCAATTTTTTGTCAATTTAAGTCATTTGACACACTTTAAAGTGTAATACCGTCATTTTCTCGCCTATAAGCCCTTAACATTTCAGATAGGTTGCTAATCTAACTTATAATTAACCCTCCAAAGTTAACACTACACACTATTTCTTTATGAAAAATTATCAAATACCCTCTAATGTATGTCATATATACGTAACGTGACTTAAATTGACAAAAAATAAAATATGGTAGCTTCGATCCTAATATTAGGGATGTAATTGGCAGATTTTTATAATTCAAGGACAAATTTTTCTAAAAAAAAATAATTTAGAGACCTAAGTTTCACTTAGATGATAATTTAGGGACTAAATTGGCAATAATATAGTGAGTTTGAGTATGGACTTGGGAAGGTGATAGGGATAAATAAAAAAATAAAAATAAAACGAAAGAAAGAACAAAGACTATCCAAAAGATTATTGGCAGTGATTACAACTATTCAACTGTCAATACTTATCAAATATGGTTTGATTATATATGCAAGTAACGATTCCAAATCTTATTGGAGCTAATTAACTAATGTAGTAAATATTTTTTTTTTTAACAAACGGTATTATTTACATTAAAAGTGAGTGAGTGGACTATGCCTTACAATGGTCTATAGTTCAAATTAGCCTTTGGCGAAAATCGAACTTAAAATCTCTCACTTACAAATAGAGAAAAATATCACTAGACCATATTATTAAATGACAATAAAATAATAATCTTATTAGACATTGAATTCCTTAGCAAGTGGTTAAACTTTTTTTTTTTTAAGTTTAGAAGTAATAGTAATTAATTAGTTGTGATTAATATCTTAAGATTTTTTTTTTCTTCATTAATTGTAACCAATAGTCTAGCAACAGTCATCATTTGTTAATAATTTGTGCTTCGGCAAGTTTGTTGCAGGATGGATTGAGGCAAGAGGCTTTTTTTTTTGTTTTTTTGTTTTTTTTTTTTTTTTGTGGCTGATTGTTGGGACGCCTTCAAAAGGAAGTATCGTCATGAACTCCTTCTTGCTTTAGGACACTTCATGTATTGATGTGCTCGAAAAATTGACCCACCAAAGTTTCTAGCCTCCGTCGAGTGTTCTATTTATAGAGTAACTCGTATTATTACATTTTAAAATTTACATCACATAACTTTGAAAATAAGATCCTTTTGTTTCCAAAGTCTACATCACATTTGTGAACATTGATAAATCTGTGTGTGCATTCAAAACAATGCCAATGTTTTCAACACTTACCATACAGTTTCGCATAAATTAAGAAGAAAATTAAGGTTCACAAAAAATAAAAAAAGAACTTACCAAAAAAATTGAAAACATACGTAGAGAGAGCCGTCATCACAAACCCTAGAAACAATGAGAGCAACCTTATTTCCCGCCACATATTCCCCCTGTCGATGTGTATGAAGATGTCGGAGCATCCATTCCACGCCCTCTTTCAAACTTTTGCAAAAGTCTCCAATTCGATTCAAACCCAACTCTCGAATCTCATCGCCCAGTCTCTCGAGCCATCACCCACCGCCCAAAAACGCATCCTCTCTTCCTCCTCCAAAGTGGCAGGCTCATCAGACAATGGCTCCACCCAATCCCAGCCTAAAGATATCCTCAGCACGAAAATGGTACTATTGCTCGTCTATAATCTTTAAACTCACTGATTTGCAGTGTTTTTGCTCTTAAAGTTGCAGCCTTTATTGGACATCCATGTTTATCTTATGTGCTAGAGATATGGGTAGTACGAAAAGTATTCGATAAAAGTCCTCAACGAGAGTCTGATGCGGATTTGTATGTATCAAATACAAATATCAATGCATGTGGCTTCTTCTCTAATTCGCATAGAGTGAATCCTATTGAAATATGATTTTTATCTGGCGCTTTTGTTCGGTGGATTGTGTACGTAAATGTAGAGTTCGGGTGAGGTTTTGTGGTTGCAGCAACTTAGGACAGCTTAATCGCTGACCGGGTTGAATCGTTTTCTTGTTATTATCATCATTAATTCTATAGATAAAGGGAAAGATGGTGTGGTTTTTTTGGGGAATGTATGCAGGTTGGGTTTAGGGTTCAGCTTCTGAGAAGGCCACCTATATTGTGACTCCTCTTTCACGTCTTGCAGTCCATAGTTAGCTTCCATGACGTTTTCAAGCCATATTATTCAGTCAAAAGTTATTTAGGATTTCAAAACGAAATTGAATTGTTGGTAAATCTGAATCGATTCCTTATATTCAGGGAAAATCGGTTTCTCCTTTGACTAAAGAAGAACTCGGAAGATCCACTTGGACGTTTCTTCACACTCTTGCTGCTCAGGTAAAGGAAATAGTTTGTAGTAATTATCCAACGTGTTGTAAATTTGTTTAGTATTGTATGTGTGATTACTCTCATCTGGGCTAGGTACCTAGTCTCAGTACTTGCTAAAAAAAACAGATTGCTAGAAAATTACCATTGTACACTGCTTCTTCTGCACTTGATCACAACACTTCTTAAACAATTAGTTGATCCACGATTTATGTTTCGTCTTTCGTTCCCTTTTCGTTTGTTTTGAGAAATATATCAATCAATTCCAATTCTTTCTTTTCTATTGATTCTTTTCCGATCGAGATGTATGGATCCATGGGTCTGTGTCTATATAGATCTTGTTCATGGATTAACGAAAATGTGCAAAAGCTCTATTTGCCTCTGCCATTCTCTGAGTCTCTTCCTTTTTGTGCATGGCATTGCAACTCCCAAAATGATATTTAGTTATTAGTTGTTTAATGTAGATTAACTTCGTTAAGACTTTTTCGAAATTTTCAGTATCCAGATAAACCGACAAGGCAACAGAAGAAGGATGTAAAGGAACTGGTATGCTACTCTCTCTCTCTCTCTCTCTCTCTCCATATAAATATACACAGAAAATTTTACGCACTCTTACATTCTTATTTCTTTTGGATGGAGTCTCATCAGAATTTTAAGTGAGTTATGCAGAGAAAAACAAAAGGAAATTTCTTTATATATTTTTGCAGACGATTTCTCGTAATACACGGGAATGTTTAGTTCTGAAAGTGATATTACACAATGTAGAAGAACTAGATTAGGCACTCGGGCCAACTCATTTTGATGGCGTTTACCATGCAGATGTCGATATTATCACGGATGTACCCCTGCAAGGAATGTGCAGATCACTTTCAAGAAATTCTGAGGTTCACAATTTCATCTTCGTTTCAACTTTGCTCATCATTTTAGTTTTAATCTAGTTCCTCGTAGTAGTTCTCAACTACGTCATAGGGTCATTCGCTATTAAATAATTAAATGCGATTCAAATGCTGCAGTCGAACGATGCCCCTCTAGTATAATTGTGAACTTATAGATGTATACGTGTTTGGCAGATCAAATCCTGTACAGGCTGGATCGCATGCTGAGTTCTCCCAATGGCTGTGTCATGTGCATAATACAGTTAATAGAAGGTAAGTTCTGTAACTGTTCTGGTTTGTAATCCCAGAAACCGGATTATGTTTATGTTCTAGCAAATTATATTCTTTTGAGATCTAATATGCGGAGTTGATGCAGCCTTAACAAACCGGTTTTCCCCTGTGAACGCGTTGATGCACGCTGGGGCAAGTTAGAGTGTGAACAGCGTGCTTGCGATCTACTAGGAATTACCGGAGATTTTGGCGACAATGCATTTTAAGTACTTTGTTGAATGATTCGAGTTGATGGTATTATTGCACAAATCACTGATTGTAATCAACTTCCGTATAAGGAATTTCATGAGTTGCAGATAAATTTCATATTTATAGGACCATTTACATCTTTTAAATCCTTTTATTTTAAGCAAACATTGTCATGCTATTATCTAGCTATGCACAAAGAATCCAACAAAGTGAGATTAATCCAACTTGACCTCGCTACATGTCCTTACAGCTGATTATAAATAGCACAACGCATACTTTGCGGTTTTTGTAGCTATGCTCTCATGGATGTGACATCTCATAAAAATGAAACTTGGTTTTAGATTGTACCCCAGTGGGGAGGTTGTGCAGGGAACTTAGATGATAGATTAAATAAATAACAAATGAATCTTTCGGTTCAAAATATTTCACATCACAGTTTCCTTGCTTATGTCTTCGTCATTAAGTTGATATTATTTCATCACCTCTATGGTTGAATTTTGCCGTTGATTTAGTGATGGCCAGCACATTTCCACCCTTAGCTGGAAGGCTAATTGGGTCGAGATGTGTCGGTTTGATATAGCGAACGTCCTCATGAACTTTTCACAAATCGGTCAAAATTATGAGCCTTGTTCATGGTCATCACGGCAGTAATAAACATTTGATAAGAACATATCTTTTTAAAAACACCTCATCCGAGACCATCTGCTAGTTCGAAAAATAACGTAACGACAGACAAAAAAAAAAGCTCCCAGAAGAGTAGTGTGACAATTTGACTTCCAGATCTAAACCCTCAGATTATGTCCCATGTTGGCTATTAAACCGTACGGAATGATGGGGCCCCGCCAAATTTCAGAATGTAGGCAGTTTCATATACAGCCCGCAGTTATGGGATCAGTTGAGCATCCAAATATGCAACACAGGAAAAACACCAGAAGGATAGGTCACTGCACGAAATGTAAACCTTGGCAAGTATTGGTAATTGTACCTATAGCTGATAGCAAGACAATGATTTGCCCGCTGATAATGCTGAAGCATGTGCTTGTTCAAGTAGCGGCTGCAGAGGACGTCCTTACAAGTTACAGCACAAACATAACCAGTTCTCATTGGGGTGCTGGCATCTAGTATAATACGAAAACTGTTCCCCAGATTAAAGACGTTAGGTATGATTCAGGAATCAGGCGCTTGGACTTTTATTAATGTAAAGCATAAAGAATCAACAGAAGCATGCTACACATCTTCGCAATTCAACTATTTCAAGATTTTATTCAATGACAAAACTTTGAAATTTTCTTTCGTTTGAAGTTCTCTTTTTATCAATGGCACTTGGAATAAACAGGCAAAGCACACTAAGTTAAGAAAAGAATGATCACCTTCAAACTAGGCCGAGTTTCCTTTCTATCCATATTACAACCAAGCACGATGGTACAAAAGTTCAAATTGGTGACATGGTCTTCTATGAAGTACACAAAGTACATTCAATGTACTCTATGTATAGAGGGTAGGGTACTAGTACATCTGATATATAATTTAAATGTGGGAATTTATCCTATAAAAAAGGAAATATTGAATGAATTGATCTTAAATTATAAGATTTTATGATTACTGTTGCCTCTAAGGAAGATACTACAGTTCATTTAAACTAGTACACCATCATGCTGTAGAAGAGGCACCTCGATCATCACATTTTCAACAATTAGCTACAAATACGGATGCAATTCCCCCTTGCTAACCCAAAAAAAAGAATGTAAGATTCCTTTTGGGTAAGAATTTTATAGTTTTTATCCTACTTTTGCAAATCTTAGGGCAATCAACTGTAGCATCCATTGATATGCTTCAGAAACAGCATATAAATTGAGAATGCAAACCCTCAAGGATGGGTTATGAAATTTTTTGAGAAAAAGTAAACACCTTGACCAAGCTAGCAGCAAAGTGGGATTGACCCAGGACTTCAGGTGCAAGAGTATATGCTATTAAGTATAAATATTAAGTGATCAAAAGCGGAATTAAGAACCGGGCAAACTTGGCACAAATCAAACAACAAACAATTTAAAAAAGATCAAATCTCTGAGAAGAAAAAAATAGGAACCTGTTGCAAGCAGTATCAGGAGTGGGAATGTGAGCGAGATCAGACGACAGGGAAGCAAGGTGATCGTACGATGTTCGGAATGGTGGGGCCTTGCCAAATTTCAGGATGTAGGCAGTTTCACAAATCAATCAACAAACAATTAAAACAAAAAAGATCAAATCTCAGAGAAGAAAAAAATAGGAACCTGTTGCAGGCAGTAAAAGGAGTGGGAATGTGAGCGAGATCAGTGGACAGGGAAGCAAGGTGATCACATGAAGTTCGGGCTGGTGGGGCCTTGCCAAATTTCAGGATGTAGGCACTTTCATATACAGGCCGCAGTTGTGCGATCAGCTGAGCATCTAAATATGAATGACAGGAATAACACCAAACGGATAGGTCACTGCACGAAATGTAAACCGAGGCAGCTTTGTAAAAATCACGCTATAGAAGTCAAGAAAAATACTTGTGGATGCCTTAGTAGAAAGCATTGTTAATTGTACCTATAGCTGAGAGCAAGACAATGATTTGTCCGCTCATGATGCTGAAGCATGTGCTTGTTCACATAGCGGCCGCAGAGGACAACCTTACAGTGCAAACATAACCAGTTCTTATTGGGGTGCTGGCATCTAGTATAATACAAAAATTGTTCCCCAGATTAAAGGCGTTAGGTATGATTCGGGAATCATGAGCTTGGACTTTTATCAATGTAAAGCATAAAGAATCAACAGAAGCATGCAACAGATCTTTGTAATTCAACTATTTGAAGCTTTTATTCAATGACAAAACTTTGAAATTATCTTTCCTTTGAAGTCCTCTTTTTATCAATGGCATTTTGGAATAAACAGGCAAAACACACTAAGTTAAGAAAAGAATGATCGCCTTCGAACTACGCCGGGTTTGCTTTCTATCCCTGTTACAACTAAGCAACTATGGTAAAAAGTTCAAATTGGTCATATGGTCTTCTATGAAGTACACAAAGTACATTCAATGTACTCTACGGATAAAAGGTAGGGTATTAGTACATCTGATACATAATTTAAATGTGGGAATTTGTCCTCTAAAAAAGGAAATATTGAATTAATTGAAGGTAAATTATAAGATTTTACGATTTCTGTCACCTCTAAGGAAGATACTATAGTTCATTTAAACTGGAACACCCTCACGTTGTAGACGAGGCACCTCAATCAGCACACTTTCAACAATTAGCTACGAATAAGGATGCAATTCCCCCTTGCTAACCGAAAAAAGAATGTAAGATTCCTTGTGGGTAAGAATTTTATAGTTTTTATCTAATTTTTGCATATCTTACCAAGCTAGCGGCGAAGGGGGATCGAACTCGGGACTTCGGGTGCAAGAGTATATGCTCTTAAGTAAAAATATTAGGTGATCAAAAGCTGAATTAAGAACTGGGTAAACTTCGCACAAATCAATCAACAAACAATTAAAACAAAACATCAAATCTCAGAGAAGAAAAAAAATAGGAACCTGTTGCAGGCAGTATCAGGAGTGGGAATGTGAGCAAGATCAGAGGACAGGGAAGCAAGGTGATCGCATGATGTTCGGGCTGGTGGGGCCTTGCCAAATTTCAGGATGTAGGCACTTTCATATACAGGCCGCAGTTGTGCGATCAGCTGAGCATCTAAATACGCATGACAGGAATAACACCAGACGGATAGGTCACTGCACGAAATGTAAACCGAGGAAGCTTTGTAAAAATCACATGATAGAAGTAAAGAAAAATACTTGTGGATGCCATAGTAGAAAGCATTGTTAATTGTACCTATAGCTGAGAGCAAGACAATGATTTGTCCGCTCATAATGCTGAAGCATGTGCTTGTTCACGTAGCGGCCGCAGAGGACGACCTTACAGCGCAAACATAGCCAGTTCTTACTGGGGTGCTGGCATCTAGTATAATACGAAAATTGTTCCCCAGATTAAAGGGTTAGGAATGATTCAGGAATCAGAAGCTTGGACTTTTATCAATGTAAAGCATAAAGAATCAACAGAAGCATGCAACAGATCTTGGCAATTCAACTAATTGAACCTTTTATTCAATGACAAAACTTTGAAATTTTCTTTCGTTTGAAGTTCTCTTTTTATCAATGGCATGTTGGAATAAACAGGCAAAACACACTAAGTTAAGAAAAGAATGATCGCCTTTGAACTAGGCTGAGTTTCCTTTCTATCCCTATTACAACTAAGCAACTATGGTACAAAAGTTCAAATTGGTCATATGGTCTTCTATTAAGTACACAAAGTACATTCAATGTACTCTACAGAGAGTAGGGTATTAGTACATCTGATACATAATTTAAATGTGGGAATTTGTCCTCTAAAAAAGGAAATATTGAATTACTTGATCGTAAATTATAAGATTTTATGATTTCTGTCGCCTCAAAGGAAGGTACTACAGTTCATTTAAACTAGTAGACCCACACGTTGTAGACAAGGCACCTCAATCAGCACACTTTCAACAATTAGCTACGAATAAGGATGCAATTCCCCCTTGCTAACTGAAAAAAGAATGTATGATTCCTTGTGGGTAAGAATATTTTAGTTTTTATCTTATTTTTGCATATCTTACCGAGCTAGCAGCCATGGGGGATCGAACTCGCGACTTTGGGTGCAAGAGTATATGCTCTTAAGTAAAAATATTAAGTGATCAAAAGCTGAATTAAGAACTGGGTAACCTTGGCACAAATCAATCAACAAACAATTGAAAAAAAAAAAAAAAATCAAATCTCAGAGAAGAAAAAAATAGGAACCTGTTGCAGGCAGTATCAGGCGTGGGAATGTGAGCAAGATCAGAGGACAGGGAAGCAAGGTGATCGCATGATGTTAGGGCTGGTGGGGCCTTGCCAAATTTCAGGATGTACGTAGTTTCATATACAGGCCGCAGTTGTGTGATCAGCTGAGCATCTAAATATGCATGACAGGAATAACACCAGATGGATAGGTCACTGCACGAAATGTAAACCGAGACAGCTTTGTAAAAATCACACAATAGAAGTAAAGAAAAAGACTTGTGGATGCCATAGTAGAAAGCATTGTTAATTTTACCTATAGCTGAGAGCAAGACAATGATTTGTCCGCTCATAATGCTGAAGCATGTGCTTGTTCACGTAACGGCCACAGAGGACGACCTTACAGCGCAAACATAACCAATTCTTATTGGGGTGCTGGCATCTAGTATAATACGAAAATTGTTCCCCAGATTAAAGGCATTAGGTATGATTCGGGAATCATGAGCTTGAACTTTTATCAATGTGAAGCATAAAGAATCAACAGAAGCATGCAACAGATCTTTGTAATTCAACTATTTGAAGCTTTTATTCAATGACAAAACTTTGAAATTTTCTTTCCTTTGAAGTCCTTTTTATCAATGGCATTTTGGAATAAACAGGCAAAACAAACTAAGTTAAGAAAAGAATGATCGCCTTTGAACTAGGCCGAGTTTGCTTTCTATCCCTATTACAACTAAGCAACTATGGTACAAAAGTTCAAATTGGTCATATGGTCTTCTATGAAGTACACAAAGTACATTCAATGTACTCTACAAATAGAAGGTAGGGTATTATTACATCTGATACATAATTTAAATGTGGGAATTTGTCCTCTAAAAAAGGAAATATTGAATTAATTAAAAGTAAATTATAAGCTTTTATGATTTCTGTCACCTCTAAGGAAGCTAATATAGTTCATTTAAACTAGAACACCCTCATGTTCTACACAAGGCACCTCGATCAGCACACTTTCAACAATTAGCTACGAATAAGGATGCTATTCCCCTTTGCTAACCGAAAAAAGAATGTAGATTCCTTGTGGGTAAGAATGTTATAGTTTTTATCTTATTTTTGCATATCTTACCAAGCTAGCAGCCAAGGGGGATCAAACTCAGGACATTGGGTGCAAGAGTAAATGCTCTTAAGTAAAAATATTAAGTGATCAAAAGCTGAATTAAGAACTGGGTAAACTTGGTACAAATCAATCAACAAACAATTAAAAAAAAAAGATCAAATCTCAGAGAAGAAAAAAATAGGAACCTGTTGCAGGCAGTATCAGGAGTGGGAATGTGAGCGAGATCAGAGGACAGAGAAGCAAGGTGATCGCATGATGTTCGGGCTGGTGGGGCCTGGCCAAATTTCAGGATGTAGGCAGTTTCATATACAGGCCACAGTTGTGCGATCAGCTGAGCATCTAAATATGCATGACAGGAATAACACCAGACGGATAGGTCACTGCACGAAATGTAAACCAAGGCAGCTTCGTAAAAATCACACTATAGAAATAAAGAAAAATACTTGTGGATGCCTCAGTAGAAAGCATTGTTAATTGTACCTATAGTTGAGAGCAAGACAATGATTTGTCCGCTCATAATGCTGAAGCATGTGCTTGTTCACGTAGCGGCCGCAGAGGACGACCTTACAGCGCAAACATAACCAGTTCTTATTGGGGTGCTGGCATCTAGTACAATACGAAAATTGTTCCCCGGATTAAAGGCGTTAGGTATGATTCGGGAATCAGGAGCTTGGACTTTTATCAATGTAAAGCATAAAGAATCAACAAAAGCATGCAACAGATCTTTGTAATTCAACTATTTGAAGCTTTTATTCAATAACAAAACTTTGAAATTATCTTTCCTTTGAAGTCCTCTTTTTATCAATGGCATTTTGGAATAAACAGGCGAAACACACTAAGTTAAGAAAAGAACGATATCCTTCGAACTAGGCCGGGTTTCCTTTCTATCCCTATTACAACTAAGCAACTATGGTACAAAAGTTCAAATTGGTGATATGGTCCTCTATGAAGTACACAGTACATTCAATGTACTCTACAGAGAGTAGGGTATTAGTACATCTGATACATAATTTAAATGTGGGAATTTGTCCTCTAAAAAAGGAAATATTGAATTAATTGATCGTAAATTATCAGATTTTACAATTTCTGTCGCCTCTAAGGAAGATACTACAGTTCATTTAAACTAGTACACCCTCACGTTGTAGACGAGGCACCTCGATCAGCACACTTTCAACAATTAGCTACGAATAAGGATGTAATTCCCCCTTGCTAACCGAAAAAAGAATGTAAGATTCCATGTGGGTAAGAATTTTATAGCTTTTATCTTATTTTTGCATATCTTACCAAGCTAGCAGCCAAGGGGGATCAAACTCGGGATTTCAGGTGCAAGAGTATTCTTAAGTAAAAATATTAAGTGATCAAAAGCTGAATTAAGAACTGGGTAAACTTGGCACAAATCAATCAACAAACAATTAAAAAAAAAAAAAAAGATCAAATCTCAGAGAAGAAAAAAATAGGAACCTGTTGCAGGCAGTGTCAGGAGTGGGAATGTGAGCGAGATCGGAGGACAGGGAAGCAAGGTGATTGCATGATGTTCGAGCTGGTGGGGCCTTGCCAAATTTTAGCATGTAGGCACTTTCATATACAGGCCGCAGTTGTGCAATCAGCTGAGCATCTAAATATGCATGACAGGAATAACACCAGACGGATAAGTCACTGCACGAAATGTAAACCGAGGAAGCTTTGTAAAAATCACGCTATAGAAGTCAAGAAAAATACTTGTGGATGCCTTAGTAGAAAGCATTGTTAATTGTACCTATAGCTGAGAGCAAGACAATGATTTGTCCGCTCATAATGCTGAAGCATGTGCTTGTTCACGTAGCGGCCGCAGAGGACAACCTTACAGTGCAAACATAACCAGTTCTTATTGGGGTGCTGGCATCTAGTATAATACAAAAATTGTTCCCCAGATTAAAGGCGTTGGGTATGATTCGGGAATCATGAGCTTGGACTTTTATCAATGTAAAGCATAAAGAATCAACAGAAGCATGCAACAGATCTTTGTAATTCAACTATTTGAAGCTTTTATTCAATGACAAAACTTTGAAATTTTCTTTCGTTTGAAGTTCTCTTTTTATCAATGGCATTTTGGAATAAACAGGCAAAACACACTAAGTTAAGAAAAGAATGATCGCCTTCGAACTTGGCCAAGTTTGCTTTCTATCCCTATTACAACTAAACAACGATGGTACAAAAGTTCAAATTGGTGATATGGTCTTCTATGAAGTACCCAAAGTACATTCAATGTACTCTACGGATAGAGCGTAGGGTATTAGTACATCTGATACATAATTTAAATGTGGGAGTTTGTCCTCTAAAAAAGGAAATATTGAGTGAATTGATCGTAAATTATAAGATGTTATGATTTCTGTCGCCTCTAAGGAAGATACTACAGTTCATTTAAACTAGTACACCCTCATGTTGTAGACGAGGCACCTCGATCAGCACACTTTCAACAATTAGCTACGAATAAGGATGCAATTCCCCCTTGCAAACCGAAAAAAGAATGTAAGATTCCTTGTGGGTAAGAATTTTTTAGTTTTTATCTTATTTTTGCATATCTTACCAAGCTAGCAGCCAAGGGGGATCGAACTCGGGACTTCGGGTGCAAGAGTATATGCTCTTAAGTGAAAATATTAAGTGATCAAAAGCTGAATTAAGAACTGGGTAAACTTGGCACAAATCAATCAACAAACAATTAAAAAAAAAAAAGATAAAATCTCAGAGAAGAAAAAAATGTGAACCTGTTGCAGGCGGTATCAAGAGTGGGAATGTGATCGAGATTAGAGGACAGGGAAGCAAGGTGATCGCATGATGTTCGGGCTTCGACCCAACCCGATTCAGCTCCATAAAACAATTCTTCCTCATTTTCTAGAAATGGGTCCTCCTGATCACATAAATGACTGAAACCCTTTGTTTCAAATTTCAAAAGAATCAAGATTTCGAGTTCACACAAAGCGTAAAGTGATAGATTTTACCTGAGCACAAGGAGAACGAGCTTGGGCTGCCATGATGAACGCTGAAGAGTTTCTCAGTGAACAGATTCGCCTTTGTTTTCAAGCAACCATTTATTTAGCTTGGGTTAATTACAGATTCGCCCTTGAACTTTTACAATATCTTTTCGTCTTTTTATATTTAGTCCTCCAAATATACTTTTCGGCTCAAGTTTGTCCTTAAACTCTTTTTAAGTATATGTAATGAGGAGATCGTTTAGTTAAAATGGTTTCTGAAATTTGTATAACTTCTCACTTTAGTTCTTATGATTTGAAATTGATAGAAGTAATCTATGAGTTTGTACATCATCAATTATTTTGGTCCTTTCATGAAAAATCTTCATTAAATAAGGCTAAAATGACAAAAATACCCTCATTTTTTATCAAATCATTTGGTCCATTGTTCATTAAATTGAGGGTATGTTTTTCATTTTGCTCCTTATTTAACATAATTTTTCATGGAAGAACCAAAATGATTGATAATAGACAAACCCAGGGACCACCTCTATTGATTTCAAATCTTAGGGACCAAAGTGATGAATTATGCAAATCACAGGAACTATTTTGGCTAAAAAGTCTAATGAGGAAAATAGTGGATTTTGCTACATACGTTGATACCCCGATCACTAGAAGGTCCTTCATAGGGGAACTAGATTAAGAGGGTTGTGAGGGGAGGGTGAGAGAAAAAATGGGTCAAGTGAGCATGATAAAGTAGGATAGAGTATTAGGTGAGCACTTTTATGTTTGGAGCTGCATAAACCATTAAACTTTTGAGGAAATTGTAGAAATAGTCCCTTAATTTTAATTCAATTGGAGCAATGGTCATTCAACTATATTTTCATGACCATTGGTCCTTCAACTCATCAAAAAGTGCAACTATGGTCATTTTCCTTAACACCGTCAATAAATCCATTAAATTCAGTCACGTGTGTGGCACATGAGATTGACTGTAGGGGCAATTAAGGAAACATATTATTTCCCAGGTTGAAGTTGATACCCATCCCCAATTGAAACTTCCTCCACGCCCAATTCTCAAAATCCCATGTATTGTAGTAATCAACTTTTAATGAAGAAAAACAACCACATAAACTCAATTTCAAATCGATTATGGACGATGTGGTGTGGAAGAGATTTACTGCACTAGTATAGAGGAGAATGAAGAAGGCTTTACAACATTGGTATAGAGGAGAACGCATGGAGGATAAGGCAGTTCACTAAACCCGAGAGCAACATGAATAATTTGGAAGCCATTGCCAATGAGGACCACAAACACTATAATATCAACAAAAGTTGCATACAAAAGAATCTCAAAAGAAAGCATGACAAAGATGAAGAAATCAACTAATAAAAGGTACATCTTCTCCTCAAAAACACCCATATAGAATAACAATTATAAAAGGTTCAAATTTTCCGGAAAACCTTACAATATTTCAGAGGATCTCCGATCCACCTCATGACATCCGACAACTCCATCGTCCTCTACTAAACTAACCTTGAAATCGAACCTTAAAACACCCAAATTTCCGATTGCAAACCCAAGTGCAATGAGTATTATCAGTTTTGGAGGGATTGAACACTCAAACAACTCATAAATAACCCTCCTCACAAAACCCTATCCAACCCCCTTTGCTACGTTCGATCGACTCCAACCCAAGAGAAATAATATGTTTCCTTAATTGCCGCTACAATCAGTCTCATGTGCCCCGCACGTGAGTGATTTTAACAGAATCATTAACGGTATTAAGGAAAATGACTATAACTACACATTTTGACGAGTTGCGAGACCAATGGTCATGAAAATAAAGTTGAGGAACCATTACTACAATTTCCTCTTAAACTTTTCTCCAATCGCATGCCTGGCGCTCATGGATGTTGTATGAGTTGGCTATGACTTAGGGCAAAGCTGCCCACCTCATCAAACTATCTATTCGAGATTATTTTAGAACGGACGATCAATAGCCGACAATGTAAAACGTATTATACATGTTAAGGAGGAAGAGATATGAGTGATTTAGGAGACCCCAATGAATTAGTTCAATTTTGAGCAGCTTATCAATTGTTATAATCAATAACTAATTATATCAATCGATTTTCTGTTCTTCCCAAGCAAATATTGATTTGAGAATGAAGAAAAATCTAACCAATGGGTTTGATTTCGACGGGTTTTCAATTTTTTAAATAAGTGACCTAATGGCTGGCCTATACCTACACTTGCATGTGATTACTACTTATGTCTACTTTTGTAATGAAAGTCACTACTTGATCTCAATTGACACTCTTTAAAGATTTTAATGACCAGTTTGAACTTAACAAAAAAAAAAAAAAATCTTTCAATGACTAAAGTGAAAAAATCCCTCAGTTTCGTGCTAAAACTTGTAACTATACCGAAAGGTGGGTTCAGGGTATGGTTATGATACAAAAACCTCCATACCGACTACCATACCAAACTTTCGGTATGTCAAATAGTTCGGTTGACATGTTAATTGCCACTTTGTTTTGTACAACCTTTTTGGGCCAAAATTTGATTTTTTTTTTTTCCAACCCAATTTAAGGGCAAGACTTTTTTTGTACCTTTATCTCATATATTATAGCCTAAATTCATATATCATTCATCATTCACAATTCACACATAATAAATCAAATGATGCATCAAGATTCATGGTGGAAATTAAGGTTACAATCCAAATAGAAATTACAAACCAAATCAAATACCAATACCATATCATAAAATTTTGGTTTGGTACAGTACTGTGCCATTGCTGATTGACACAAAATCGTGTATGGCATAGTAATACCGTGATGATGATATCGAATACCAATACCATATCATAAAATTTTGGTTTGGTACAGTACTGTGCCATTGCCAATTGACACAAAATCATGTATGGTACGGTTGATAATTCGGTTGGCACGGTAATTTGACAAAAAAATCCACCCCTAGCCCTTACTATACCATTTCTCTACAAGGTCCGGGTCGGATTGTTTAAGCAAGCTCTGACCCGGCCAGATTACCTCCGTGCTTTCTGAAGCCTAGGGAGAAAGCCTAGGGTTTTGACTCTCCCTACTATATATACCAACTGCAAACCAAAGTCCTCCTCCTACACGCCCCCTGAGTGAATCCGCTGTGACCGCCAGAGCTTCTGCTTCCGCCGACGAAATCATGGGGCACTCGAACGTTTGGAACTCCCACCCTAAGAACTAAGGCCCTGGATCCTGATGCGAACTAAGTAAGCACACAAATTAAAACCCTCTTGTGACAATTGTAGTAAAGATGCAAGTAGGGATCGTTCTAGACCGGGGATTAGGAGGGATTACTAAATCACTTGGAAACTGACTCAAAAACGTAAAACAAACGTTAAAAACACTAAACTAGACTCAAAGAATGTAAAACTAAACAATAAAATACTAAAACAAATCAAAAGACTCAAAGAATACAAAACACTTATAAACACAAATTAAGACACTTTCTAACTAAATTAGACACTAAGATAAAGGGGGATTGAGGTTTTGACGAAAATAAATTAAATGCACGGATTGTAAATTTAAGGCAGAATTTAAATATGAATGTGATGAAATATGGAATGAATGCTAGCTAGAAGGTTCTTCTCCACACATGTTACACTTGCATACACTTTGATTTTCAGTTGGTCTTTCGATGAATTATGGAACTCGACACTCCAAGTTAATTAGGTCCGCTTAAATTAACCTTCAAATTTCCCTAGAATCATTGAATTGGATGAATATGCATCGCAAACAAATTATTCCTAACAAGTTCTCTATATGAACAGCATGATAAAGATACAAGTTAGAATCATTACGTTCTTTGGAAATTATAAGCATCGACAAGGCATTTGTAACTATGAAAAGCATGATACTCTTGCCAGGAATTCAATTAACGCGATTGTTTATAAGCAACCTCCACTACTTGTGAATATAAGTTCATAACTATTAGGTGAAACTCACTTATATTCTAGCGTCAAATTCATGCATGAACATTAAGCGTGCACTCTCAATAAACATACACAAACAAGTTATCAATCAAACAGTTAAATGAATTGAATCCAACATTCATGAAATTCCAACCAAAAGTAATCAATTCATATTGCAAGCATAAACATGGTTTCGAATCACCCCCTAGCTAACTAGGGGGATTTAGCCTCTCATGTTCACAAAAAGAGAAATACAATTGAATTTAAACATAAAGCACAAAGGATTGATTACACCTAGAACGCCCAACGAATCCACTTGAATTTCTGTACGTCTAAGCCCTCCTTCTTCTTCTCCTTGCTGCGGCAGTGAAAGTCTAGGTGAGTTTTGGATGTTTTTCTAATTTTGGGATTGGGTTTATGGAGGTTTTGTGGTGCGGCTGTAGGTTCTTTTTGGGTGATGGTGGCTGCGTGAAGATGGGGGAAGGCTGGAAGTAATGGAGAAGGCACGGCAGAGAAGAAATATAGGAAATGGTGGCTGCGGCTGTGTTGTTTTGTTTTTGAAGGCTGCACGGTTTTTTGGGAGAATGAATTAGGGTGTAAAAAAAATGTGGCTGAATAGAAAATATGAATTGCCACGGCTGGAATGATTAGGGTAGAAAACATGCACGGGTTTTGGTGGAATTTATGGGATGGTGCTGCTAAAGGACAAAAGAATGGGATATGGTGGCTGCGTGAGATGGAGGAAAAAGTGGAAGTGGTTGCACGGTTAGTGTTAGGGTTTTTTAAGATGGAATACACGGCTAGGGTAGATGATGCGGCTAAGAAGAATAAAAAATGATATATGGTGCTGAAATAAGAAATGGCATGCATGGGATTTATGGGAGAATTTGGGAGAGTCTTTTTGGGAAGTCACGGCTGAGAAGAAAATATAAAAATCTAGTGGCTACGGCTTAGGGAATGAATTATGAGAATGAATGGATTCAATGGCTTACGAAAATAGGAAATTAAAACATAAATATAAAGGTGCGGCTAGGAAGGGAAATAGGGCTAGGGCCTTGGTTTTGTGTCCTAAAGTGCCTATAAGGCCGTCAAAGTGGCTAGAAAATACGGACGTTTAAGTTTAGGAAAGGTTACCAAAACGGGAAACTTAGGGTTAACTTTCCTAAAATAGGAAACCTTGTTTGAGTAGGATTCCTCGTTTTGGTAAGAATTCATCGTTGGAGTAGGATTTCGTCGTTTCTTCAAGTCTTCAACTCATTCATTCCTCTTTCGCTCCAAAAGACTCCAATTTGCATCTTCTTGCACACTTTGGCCTTATAATCTGAAAATACACAAAAGTGGCCTTAAACACTAAAACAACTAAGTAAACACAACATAAATGCACGAGAACAAGCTAATTAAGTCGCATGAATATGCTCCTATCAGATCCCGTACCTGGTAACTCATTTTTCAACCCTACTAATTTGATTCATGATTTCAACTTTCTTTGTTAGGTTTTTGAGATTTATATGTGGTACTGCTACGTATTCAGTTTGCCGAAAAGATTGTGTATTCTGGGGTATTCGAATCTCATCATTTTTGGGTTGTAAAATCTTTCATGCTGCTTTGTGGGTTGCGGATTTTGATTTTGCCAATTGGATTTAATTATCATCCCTCTCTTATGTCAAAAGAACAATTTGACAAAGTTTGATTCTGTTTTTTTTTGGTGTGGATGTGTTGAATGCTTTGAACGTTTTTTTGTGTATCTACGTTTCGGATTGAGTTCCGATTCGATGCATTTTTTGTGCATTCGTGCATTTTTGTGCTCTGATTTAATGCTTGTTTTGGGTTTGCTTTTGTTAAAATTGTTATTGAGTATGCTTACTTTGGTTCCTTTGTACAGTCACGTGTGTGGAAACCCTCATGGTTTGATCTGGAAGTACAGCCTCATGTGCTGCAGGCAGTGCTTCCGCAGCAATGCCAAGGAAATCGGCTTCATCAAGGTAAAGGCTTCGAGAACCCTTAGCTACCGATCGTGTTCTGATTCCGTTTACTGAGCTGAGATTATACCGTATCCACAATGTAATTGGGTTTCATTTTTCAAACTTTTTGGTTGCAGTACCGTTAAGTGGATGATATTCAAACATTCCAGGAGTCGATGATCTGGCCCAAGAAGAGTACTAGTAGTAGTGGTTTCTGAGTTCTCATGAAATTTTAAGAAGATATTTTTGTTTTAGCTGAACTTCTGTTGAACTTGATTTGGTTGTCAGACTAAGAATATTGTGTTATTAATGAATTAAAGTTTGATTTATGTTCTCTTTCGTGTGGCTGTTTGTTGTTTCTCTTGTTCTTTTCTTGGCATCTCGAGTTGCTTGCGTAGCATTCCTTGGTTCCGAGTAGATTTTTGCTTAACAATCTATCTATTATTGAACTTGATACTGGCCGGCAGTGGTTATCCACATTCTATGTGTAGTGTTTGTTTTGAAAGCGATGTGCGGTGTTCTTGCTATGTTCTTTAGGTTGTAGTTATGATGCAGACTAAAGTAGTTTAAGCGGATGGGAAGGCTTGAGGAAACACATGAGGATTTGACATATGATCACCCCTTGCACTTGCTTTAATTGCAGAGGAATTCATTGCTTTTATCGTTGCCTCTGCCAAAATTTAGTAATCTATCAACAGTGGCAAGATGATTGACATTACCATTTCATTTCTTATCAGATTGTTTGGTTGGAATTTTAGATTATTTGGTTGAAATTTGAAATATTTCTGGATTGCATTGGTGAAGATTTGTAGTAGTCCATAAAATGAAATACTTATTTGTAGGTAGTGAAATTAAAAAAACTGTTATGTTGATTTAGTAAGAATTGTTTTGAAGTAAGAGAAGTTGAGATTTCATGTGCTGATTTGATTTGACCAAAACAAGTTTGATCAACAAGCGAAGGGAACCCAATATGGTTCCATTGTGAAAGAACTTCATTTCACATGTTTCATAGGCACTCGAAATATGTTCTAACAAAAGAAATGTGCTTTCACAAAATTGGTGTGCATGAAATATTTTGGAGCGTCTGATAGTTGTTCAATTGATGGTCTTCCACTCGCACAAGTGGGCTAGCCCACTAACCCAAACCTAAACTTTGACCGGGAAGTTAACCCCATTTTGATCAAGGTTTGAATGTTTTTTAAGTTTTTTTGGTTTTGCGGCCGGGGGGTGAAGAGAGGGAATAGAAGCCAAATTTTGAGACTGAACTAAACTGGATTAATTATTAGTCTAGTCTGTGTTTGTTGCCTTGTAGGACTAACTTTAGTGGGACAAACGAGGACTCGCCTCGATTAAACACTTCACTAAACAGTCTTAGCGAGAGTCCCCGCAAACCATGGGACTCTTTAAGACCTTTGCTTCGTCCTACTCTCTGCTCGCCCGGCACCCAATCCGTCTACCTCTCGCCTAATTTTTTTTCCTTTTTAGTGTGATGTCTTTGTAACAATCATGATTTCCTTACACAGGCAAGCCAAGAAGCTCAGCTATTCACCCTAACTTCAGATTTTACATCGTCGTTTACAAGCGAGAAAGAAATGAATCACTGCATGATTCAGCAAGGAAACGCCCAATCACAAGCAAGATCTCAAATTCGAACCTACCTACAAGCTTCGTCATCCGATTCACCTTAGACTTGACCTCGATTTTCAACGGCACGGGCTTTGGGCTCCGTCTTTCTCTACCTTGTTGATTGCTTCATCCTCGACGAGGACCTCGTTGATAGCATCATCTCCATTGTCTGCTTCACTTTTTGGGGTTTTACAGAAAAACTCAAAAAAAAAAAAAAAAAATCGGGTTCTTTATTGAATTTTCTCTCTATGTATAATAATTTTTGTTTTGAAATTCGTTTTTCGAGAAAATTGTAGCAATGGTCCCTCAACTTTTACCCAATTGGAGCAAGGGTCCCTCAACTAAAAATTTATGACCATTGGTCCTTTAACTCATCAAAACGTGCAGTTATAGTCATTTTCTTTAACTCCGTCAAAATGAGTTATGTTGGAAGGACCATTGCTATAATTAGGTTAAAGTTGAGAGACCATTGCTTTAATTGAGTTAAAGTTGAGGGACCATTTCTCCAGTTGAGTTAAAATTGAGAGACCATTTCTCCAGTCAGGTTAAAAGTTGAGGGACCACTTTCATATTTGCCTCTTAATTCAACCTCATGTGCATGACACTTGACTCATTTTGACGGAAATTCTGACGGCATTGAAGAAAAGAACCATAGCTGCATGTTTTAAGGAGTTAAGAGACTAATGGTCATATATTTTTAATTGACAAACTATTACTCCAATTGGGTTAAGTTGAGAGACCATTGCTAGAATAAATTTTTTACAAATTTATCAGTGAATTTGGTGTTAGAATTTGTGTAAATTGTTGCCATTGTGTTGTGGGTGTGTTAGCAAAATGGGTATATATTTTGATGTGCTTACATATTCATGACTGAGTTAGATTTTTTCAGTGGATACAAACTCTTCATTAGTCAGCAATCTTTATCCAAAAGGAAATTTGTTAGGTCTATTTGATTTTTGAATGTGTGTTGTTAACTAATATGTGGTTGATCATGTTGTTTGCTTGTACTTCAAATACGTACCTTGTATATAGGTATTCTCTAATCCTAATGTAATCTTGAATATAGTATAAATAGATTGCAGCATTCAAATTGGAAGGCATGCAATTGATGTGAAACTTGCCGTCTGTTCTAAACACTTCCCAGCATTCTCGCTTGGCTCTTTTTCTCATGCGTTTACATATTATGGACACCCCGTAGCCTGTGCAGTTGCAATTGAAACACTCAAGATCTACACAAAGTAATTGAAGGGCACTGAAGAATATGTGAAGGAGCTTAAGTTTAAGCACAAGTAGTTGCAACTTATAAATGTATTAATAGCCGATGATGGTGAAAAAATATGTAGACTTCCATGTAAACGAAATTCCTTTTTCAGTTGTGTTTTCTGAGATGAATGATATTCTAAATAAAGCATTTTTTTTTCTCTTAAAAAAAGTTTTTTAGACAAGAAGGTAGAAGTTTTCAAAAGAAAATAAAAAATAAAAATTTAGTCCTAACTAGTCCACCACTGCACCAGATGTTTCACAATTCTAGTACTGCTTAGTTCATACCAAGCCAATCCAGCTGAAATTAGTCTAATCCAAAATAGTCCGGTGCAACAAAAACACCCTAAGAGTATAAAATTGTCTTGGCATTTCCTTATGTAAGATAAATGGGAAGCAAACTATAGTAAGCAAATGATTTGGGATTTTTCATGGCATGGGGCCTATTTTATTGAAAAGGAGGTGATGCAAGAGAGAGAGAGAGAGAGAGAGAGAGAGAGAATGGATAGAAAAAGGCTTAGGAAATTGTAGGATGTTATTCTCCTGTGTCAATACCTTTATTATGGCAAACTATAAGGAGAGAAAAATTTGCTCTCCAAGTAATACAAATCTAGTAGGAAAAAATCACTAGAATAAAAAGTAATCCTAAACCAAATTTACCAAGGATTTACACATGCACACTATGTGAAATATTAATTACAATACACTCACTTGAGTGTGTAAGTAGATATCAAATCAGATTCTACAAAGATAGTTGATGAAGTCGTCTCGTAGACACTTGATAAGTAACATGCAAAAGAAAGTAGGTCTCACAAAATCTGGCTATGGTAACATGTATAGAGTAAAATGAAGTTGTCTCAAACAGGGGTAATATGAAGTCGTCCTATTGATAAAGTAACATGAAGTCGTCTCAAACAAGGAACTTGCATAAGAAAGTAAGTCTTACAAAACCTGGCTATGGTAAAATCCAAGGTGGCACAAAAACTCATGGTCTAAAGAAAAAGATGAGCTGATGCAAAGTCAATAGTAAACATCTGCAAGACGTACACAAGGGTACGACCATCTTTGGATATGTGCCACATTAAAAAAATCTAGTTAGGTAGCAAAAACCCAAAAGAAAAATGCTCATAATTGTTGGGAAAAAAAAAGTACATTAAGGTAAAGTGAGCATATTTCAGAATACTCCTCTTGAATTTGACAAAATTCCAAATGAGAACTAACAATGTTGCAAATTAGAAAATTTACGCATACCAATTCCTCGAACAAGCTGTTGGAAAGTTGACTTCGGTAATGACTTGGTGAAGAGGTCGGTTAGGTTGTCTCGAGATCAAATTTGTTTGACTTCAATCTTCTAATATTCTTGCTGCTGATGGGAGAAGAAGAACTTCGGCCCAATATGCTTGGTGTTGTCTCCTTTGATGTATCCCTTCTTGATTTGGTCAATACATGCAGCATTATCTTCATAGATCGTTGTAGGGACGTCAACAACAGAAGAAAACCCACCATTGTGTTTTTTTTTTTTTTTTTTTTTTAATGCTCAACAATAGCTCTCAGCTAGAAGCATTCACGAGTAGCTTTGTGTATGGCAAAAATTTCAACATGGTTTGAAGAGGTAAGTTTGGTTGACCTCCAAGATATGCAGTATCTCCAACGGTAAAGACATAACACATTTGAAAACGTGCCTTGTGCAGTTCAGATAAGTAACATGTATCAGCATAACCAACAAGACAAACATCATTTCGAAGGTTAAGATGTGTGATCTATTCTAAGATGCATAAAGAACCCAAATTTGAAGTACTCTTGCGGTAATGAAAGATGTCTTTAACACCAGTTCAGTATTTGCGTGTAGATGTGTTGCTATACCTTGCTAAAAGATTAATAGTGAAGGAGATGTCTGGTCTAGTGCATTGAGTTAAGTACAATAAAAACGGTAATTGCACTAAGGTAAGGAATTTCAACCTTCAAAATCTCATCCTCATTATCTTTAGAACATAAAGAATTTTGTTTTGCATTTAGAGTTCTGACAATCATATGAGTACTTGAAAGCTTCTCTTTATCCTTGTTAAAGCATCACAACACTTTGTGGGAGTAGTTCAATTGATGGACCAAAATACCATTTGAATAATGCTCAAGCTCTAGGCCGAGGCAGACTCAAGTTTTCCCAAGATCTTTCATCTCAAATTCTGACTTCAGGTGCGCGACAGTTTTCTCAAGTTCTTGAGGAGTCCCAATGAGATTCATGTCATCAACTTAAACTGCAACTATTGCAAATTCGGAATATAACTTCTTAATAAACATGCATGAGCATAATTTATTGTTCACATATCCCTGGTGTGGGACCATGAATTTCCAACGCCGGAGTAAGGCGGATCGAAATATGAATACGTTAGAAGTCCGATTATGGACTCATCAACTTTTGCAGTGGAGCTGCACAGACGGATCAACGAT